AGATGAAGACAAATAAGTGATTTATTTATTAAAGTCAGCCTGTCACTCCTACTCCTTTTATACTCAGCAATAGTTTATTCCCAGTTTTAAGAGTTTGGGATGAGCTAAGGTATATGTATGATTTATGTATATGCATACACAAAAAATCCCTATACAATACACTAAGCTCTTGCACCTATTGCAGATGAGGGAATAAACTAAAGTGAAAGACAGGTGTATTTTGAAATAGACAAACAAGAGAAGTTTTAATTTATTTAAATGATTTCTAATTAAGTAATCAGGTGTTCTCACTTACTGCCACTACTTTACAGGGATATTGCAAGGGAAAGAAAGGGTTGCTACTGTAGAAACCAGTCCAGTATTAAGAGATTACTCTCAGATCTTATTTAAATTTACTGAGAATTATATTTCTGTTTTAAAAAAAAAAATGTCTTAAACAGCAAATTTATTCAGGATAATTACTCCATATGAATATTTTAAATTTAGAAAAATATAGAAATAATATAGAAATCATATAATATAGAAAAACAAATATGAATATTTTTAATTTAGAAAACAAAAAACCTGAACAGCTCCTACAGTTTGTGAGCCTACAACAAAGTGTAAGGACACATGGTTAAGCAAAATTGATCTTAAAATATTTGAACTGTTTTAACAATAATAAAAAGAAGTAAAAGAACGAAAATCTTAAAAAAATAACAACTCAATAACAACTGAATTGTTAATTTTTAAGAATTTTCTTCTTTTACTTTGTTTTCAGTGTACAAAAAGAAAAAAAAATAAAGATATACTTTCATCTGCAGGTTGAGTAGTTAATTTGGCTCCATAGCCTTAGAGAACTGAAGCTGTTGTAGAGAAAATCTCTGGAACCCTCTGCAGGCCAATTTTAATGCATTAAAACAGTGCAAGAAGAATCAGAAAATAATAATTAATCACTGTGAAAAATGCAGTGAAAAATGTTAACATGATTTCTATCTTCATGTCTTTGATTTCATTGTTATTCTGAAAGTATTTCAGAACATTTGGGAACTGCAAAAGAACATGGTTTTCAAAGTTATAAGGAGGAGAAATTGGGTAGGAAACTTGTTTCTAAAAAAAGGATTGGCATGACTTTGTCTGCAGGGACATCAATGAAATAATGCTCTGTATTTAAATGCTTCATCCAAGAAAAAGAGAATAATATTAATTATAGCCTTTAGCTCTTTTCATGGCAATCCTTTGGTAATTATAGTTCAATAGAAAGAACAGAAGTAATTTAAAGATATATTTCTTCATAAGATACCCAACTTTATTTTTTTCTTAGAAAGACTGCATTTCAAAGGAGAACTTTAACTTAGATATGCATTGTTTGCACAGAAGTAGTGAAATAAACTGCAAAGATATTTCTGTAGTGTATGCTATTTTTGCAGCTGTATCCATGGTGGCAGTAAGTTAAATGGCATCAACTTTGATGATACCTGCTGAAGACCTTATAATTATAGTTTGTGAATTTTAATGTGAATTTTTATGAAGGTTGGGGGGGAGTTGTTTGTTTGTTTGGTTTTGGTGTTTTTGTTTTGTTTTGCCTGGTTTTGTTTTTGTTTTCGTTGGTTTTCGTTTTGTATGTGGAGTGCTGTCTTACAATACCAAGTTAAATAATTAAGTAGAAACTTAAGACTCTTTTAAGAAATATACAGCGACACAGTAAGGAGACAACAAAGTCTTAAAGGCTAAATTCAAGACAGAAGAAGATTAAAGTTAGGAAATGCATCTAAATTAATGGGAGTTTGAAATTTTATGTATTGTGTCTCATCACATAGACATGTAGATGCACTTCTTTAAATAGATAATTGATACATCAGACTGCTAAACACCATCAGGCATCTTCCTTACACAAAAAAACCCCAAACAAGTACCTCTTTGAATGTCATTTAAGACCTGAGATATCTAGCTCACCCAATTCACTACAGTTAGTTATTAAATAAGAATCTTGCAAGGTAGGATAAAACAGCTGGATGCTCTGGTAATCTTCTATTTTTGGAAAGCTGTTTAGAATTAAGAACAACGCCTCTATTAGAAATTTGAGCAGCATTACATGGGGTAGAGTGAAGCTACATTTTGCAGCTTAACCCTAGCAGACAGCTCAGCCCCACACAGTCACTTGCTCACTTCCCTTCCAGTAGAACAGAGAAGAGACTTATGGGTTGAGATAGACAATTTCATGGGTAAATCAAAGCTACAGGCTAGGGACAGAGTGGCTGGAGAGCAGCCAGGTAGAAAGGGACCTGAGACTATGGATCAACAGGAAGCTGAACATGAGCCAGCAGTGTGCCCAGGTGGCCAAGAGGGCCAATGGTATCCTGGCCTGGATCAGGAACAGTGTGGCCTGCAGGAGCAGGGAAGTGATCCTTGCCCTGTACTCAACGCTGGTGAGGCCACACCTTGAGTATTGTGTTCAGTTCTGGGCCCCTCAGTTCAGGAAGGATATTGAGGTGCTGGAGCAGGTCCAGAGAAGAGCAACCAGGCTGGTGAAGGGACCTGAACACAAGACCTATGAGGAGAGGCTGAGGGAGCTGGGGTTGTTTAGCCTGGAGAAGGCTCAGGAGAGACCTCATCACTCCATACAACTACCTGAGAGGAGGTTGTAGCCGGGGGGGAGTCGGTCTCTTCTCCCAGGCAGCTATCAGTAAGACAAGAGGGCACGGTCTCAAGCTCTGCCAGGGGAAGTTTAGGTTAGATGTTAGGAAGAAATTCTTTACAGAGAGGGTAATCAGGCATTGCAATGGGCTGCCCAGGGAAGTCGTGGATTCTCTGTCCCTGGAGGTATTTAAGAAGAGACTGGATGTGGCACTTAGTGCCATAGTCTAGTAACTGTGGTGGTAGTGGATCAAGGGTTGGACTTGATGATCTCAGAGGTCTTTTCCAACCCATCTGATTCTATGAATCAATTATTCTATAAGGGATTCATACTCTACTTCCCTTTGGAAGGCAGATGTTTAGGCATTTCTGAGGGAAACAGGGATTCACCAGGTGTAATGGTTACATAATAGCACAAATGCCTTAACTCTGAATTTGTCCCCCCTTTCTCCTCCTTCTGTGGTTTTACTGATGAGTATGACATATGTATGAGGTTTTGCTTTGGTCACCTGGGATCAGCTCTCCTGGTTGTGTCACCTCTTAACCTCTGGTACCCCCAGCCTCCTCATTGGAGGGGGAGTGCAATAAGCAGAAAATGCCTTGATGCTGTGCAACCACTGCTCAACAACAGCTAAAACATCCCTGTGTTATCCAGACTGTTGTCGTCAAAAATCCAAAATGCAGCACCTTGTGGGCTGCTGTGAATAAAATTAACTCTCAGTCAAAACCAATATACTACCAAAATCAGCCTATTACAGTAAGTAAATGAGACAGAAAGCAGTCAGTGGTAGATGGTTTCCTGATGCAGCCATTTGTTACACTAGTTAGATGGGAAAATTTTAACTTTTCATATATTCTTATGAAGAATGCAAATTGGACATAGCACTACATTAAGTTTTCCAGATATAATTAACTGCCTAACCTAAGACAGCAGTGTGAGCTTTCACAACCAACTCTGAGAAATACATGCTTTAAAAAGACTACTTTTGATGCTGTCTCCAAAGACTACTAACCTTTTCGCTGTTTTTCCACTCATTTTTACTCCTGGGGCCTCACATTTGCTCTTAAACAAAAGATCTGCTTTAAAAAAAAAAAAAAAAAAAAAAAGAAAGAAAGAAAAGAAAAAAAGTTGAATATCCTTCCACCCCATTCACTCATAGCTGATTTTTACCTTATTATATCAACATGGACTGAAAGAATTCTCCTGACTTCCAAAGTCTGCATTTTTTTCAGGCCAGGACTTAAACATATCATCTACTAGAGATGAACTCTAACCAGTAAATTATTAGAACTATGTAGAATATTTATTTAAGATATGCACTACATATGTTTGCATATTTATGTTGGATGTGCTAGGAGGATTAGACGGCATGCAAATGGTGCATGCATCTTGGTTTGCTGCACACTTGGTTTGCTGCACACAGCATAAATGCTTGATTTGAATTTAGATCATCTAGATTTATCCTGTGATACCATCACAAGGATTTTTTTTCACCTGGACTAAAGTTCTTGCACTTAGTTTTAAGTCTTTTTTTTTTTTTTTAAGTAAAATATTCTTACATGTTTTATTGCCATCTAAAAGTTATTTTTATGTGAGATTTAACTATTGTGTAACTTTTATAAATTTGAAAGGCTCAAAAATAGATACCCTTTTTAAACTTTTTTTTAGTTGCTTTGACTATGTGTAAGGATTTAAGGAGCACTGTTAAGGCCACAGAAGGACTTTGCCATGACATAAGCACAGAAGGGAGCGACAGGATGACACTAGCTCCAGGCCTCCTTTCCTCCTTCCTAGAGGAAAGATCTGGTTAGCTCATCCTGGTTAACACGTCTGTTATGATCCAGTTATCAAAATTATTAGAAATGCCTCTGCCTGAGTTAAGGCGTAAATGAAACTATATGCCAGAGTCAATAGTATGGATTTTATTTAACAGTAAATATGAGGCAGAGAAAGAGAGATAGAAAGAAATAGGAAAAATGAGGGACTTGAAGAAAGAGAGTGACATAGATTAAAATAGAAAATGCATCACCACTGTGGAACCTGCAGTGTCCTGTCTTCTGGTCTTCTTGGTAGTGAGGGTCCTTCAAATCACAGAGTCCAATGGATTAATATACATTCAGGAGATGCCCAGATACCTGGGGATGCCCAGATACCCAGATACCTTTCCCCAGGGGTGAAAGCTTTGCAGTCTCTTGCAACAGGCTCTGGATTTGTTGCCTCACTTGGATCGTGTGCAGTCCTCTGGTGGTGGAAGGCCTCAGGAGTAAGTCTGAGAAGGTGCTTTGGGGGTCTTTGATGGTTTATGACCTCTTCCGAGGTGCCTCTCACATGAATGTCCCATGTGCACATGGTCTTCCTGGGGGAAGGGGGTAAGGGGCTACTCCTTTGGTTTGTGTGTAGAGATTTTGCCATTGCACACCCAAACCCTTCTCCACCACCTTCTGAGCCTTGTTTACCTCTCCTTAGACCTGATTTAATTTGACAATAGTCTTATCTCAAGTTCCCAGTCACAGTCCAAATTCCAGTTAGGATGCATATTTGGGAGGTGGATGCTTCAGTGGTCCCAGACAGGTAGTTGCTTCTTTGCAGTTTGACAAAAAGTCTTTCTATGAATTTGACATTTAAGATATTAACAACATTGCAGTCTATCACAGCATCCAGATAAAAAATTCCCACTGTGGCAAACTGTATAAAGAAGCAACTGTGCATACACATATCACAGGTCAAACTAAGATCACCTCAAGTTATTGGATAGATGGCATTTGTAATAACCAACAACCACTGAAGCCCACCATGGATGTGCCTCTGTGGATGCCTGGAACTTGGACTGTAAAATAAGCCACCACAGTGGGAACTTAAGATAAAGGTGGTACTATTGTCCAGGTGTAATCTCCTACCTAGGAGGAAGTTAACAAAGCTGGGGGAGAAGAATGTATTACTGATAGTGGCCACAAAGAATGCAGAATTTATGGCCCACAACAGAAGCAACTGTGCTGAAATCATCTAGGGCTGAGTATAAGGCAATTTCAGCAGGGGGAGATCACAACCCACTGACTTGCAACTTACCGACCCGAGAAACCCACCAACTCAAAAGAAAACAAAGATCAAGCATATGGACTAATTAGCCTTAGAAGCAAGGCAATAATTTAACCAATAGAATAAGAGAGACTGTGCATCCATTGATCATTAATTCCTTCGTTTGCTAAAATGTACGAATAGTGAAAAATTTTTAATTACTTTGGGACCCCCACAACAGAGAAGCCCAGGGAGAAGAAGGACCAGTGGGAAACCACAGGATCCACAGACGGTGAGTATCTTCTGCTTGATGTGTATCTCTCTCACTATTTCTCTTCTCTTTCTTCTGTTTCCTTCTGTCTCTCTACCTCACATTTTATTGTTGAACAAAATCTGTATTGTTTACTTTGGTATATGGTCTCTTTTGCACCTTAATTCAGGCAGAGGCATCTCTCACTAACTGGATCTTAACACTATGACATACTTCTGAATGTATATTTCCATTCAGACAGCAAACCCAAAAAAATTCATTTTCAGTGGTGTATAAAAAATATTTTTTTCTCACTGTTTCTGAGGATTCTAAATGTTTTCTGTAGTGATCCTGTGCCAGAGTGAAAAAATAAAACATGAAAATTTTCAAAATCTGATGATACTTTAAATTAAAAAATTGGACTGGATAAGTTTAATTTTTTATCTTGATGACAATATATTTTCATATTTTTACCTTCAAGGAAAATGAATTTTAAAGCTTTTTGTGAACAGAAACACATTGCTATTAGTTTAAGAAAAACACACATTTCTTTTATAAAATTATAAAACTCAGTTTTCTTATTTTTATGGAGTTTGGATGTGCAGAAAACAAGTAGGACTCAGAATTGACCCTACTTCCTGTAGTGTCCACATGTTGCTGTAACATTTTGGTTCATGCAGGTATGTTTTTCAGACAAAAACATTTCAAAAGTACTTAGACCACTTAAGGCATTCTAAAAATGTTATTTAGTAATGAAATCTTAGTAAAGAATAGCTTTTTAAGACAGAAGAAGAGTGTTTTTTCCAGCTTTCATAACACCACAGGGTATGACATGAAAGTATATACCTAAGTGAATGATTTTGTTTCACCTTAACCTGTGAGATGTTCAGGGGCTTCCTTACAGAGAACTTTTCCCTTTCCCCCTAGAATTGCAGTCAATCCATTTTTCACTAGGTTTATTTATACTGTTTATGGTTCAAGGAGCATTTTGAATAGGTAGGTAGCAAATGATAAGCATAAAAGCCTTGGAGTTTGTCTGTTCAGATAGGCATTGATGGAACTCAACTCTATGATGCTATTTTTATACTTGCAACCAAGCTTTGAAACCAGTGAGCCTGAAACATGGTTTCCCACCCACGGTATTCATGAAAATTGTGCTACAGTGCCTGAAGTGTCTAATGCAAACCACGAACAATTGTAAATTGAGGCTGTAGTAGGAATGTGTCTTTTCATCCACCACCATTAACATGGCATTGATTTGTGTTGCAGGTTCTTTATAATGGAAAATATCTCTCACTGCTTCGTTCCCTGTGCTCAGAAAAGCTCTCTAACAGAAGCTGCAGAAAAGGAAAAACAGAAGGAGGGTAGGGAAAAGGTAAAGCTGTAGCTTCTACTACTGTCTTTATTTTTTTCTGATTTTTAATAAGGTGAGATGCATCTTCTTTGAATCTGTCCTTAGATTTTCCTTAATCAGTGTTTATGCCTATCAAATTTGAGTAATAGTTCCTTATTTTGTTTCTTATTTTGCCAAAAATAGTCTTTATTTTCAGGCACATAAAGCTAACCATAAAATTACCTCTATTTCCTTCAAGATAAAGACGTACTCTATGAAAATTGTCTTACCCCAACACATATCTGAGCTAGTCACCCTGCTCCTCTATTTAGGTAATGGTCATAAACTGGCATGTCTAGACCATGACATCATCTCTTCTGAGTAGATGCCTCTATCTGGTCAGACTAACCTTGATGTAGTAATCATATTTCTTTCCATTATTTACACTTGCAGTGTAAAAAAAGGCTGACAATGACAGGATGAACAAGAACAGATGATAAACAGAAAAGAAAAAATTAAGAATGAGGCAGATACTTATTTTAATTCACTGGTATATCACTATTATTTAAATGTTTACAGAGCAGCAACTAAGGTAGAAGAAACTGTTCAAAATTGTTTTACCAATCTTTGGGTTTTTCATAGCTGTATCAGCTTGGGTATAAACTAACTATAGTAAAATATGTGAAAAGCAGAAAATAAGTTTAACAATGATTAAGGAAACATATAAGGTTGGTTTTGTTGAGTTTGGTTTTTTTTCCCTAAGAGGAACAATATGTTAAACACTTCTTTTTGCACTAAAGGTATGCTACAACTCACATTAAAATACTATGTAAAGGAGGCTAACAATAATGTTTTATAAACAATCTCAATAACTTTAATTTTCATTATTTAGTGATTGTTTGGTATTTGGAAAGGCTGTGTGCAAACAAGTTTATCTCAGTAAAACAAACAAGAAAATAAACCCCTGTTTTTTGTTGAAAATGTCATCACACAGGAACCAGCATAATGATTTTACGCTAGTTTATTTATTGTTGCTGTCCCCAAGATGTCACCTGTTATTTCCAAGCAGTTCCTGGAACATTACAGATAGCAGTAACATGCATTTAAACTTTTGCCAAATTCCAGAGACATGGCTCAATGCACTATAAAGAGAGTACTGCTAAAAGTCTGACGGTTTTGAGTGTTGTTTTTCTAGTAATGCTAAATCTTCCTGTGAATATAGTGTACCATAGTGTAAGAACAGCTATCAGTTTAGAAACGCATTATCTTTATAAAGGACTAGTCTGGCTCCTTAATATCAAAATGGTAGCTTCTGTGATAGAAAGTATGCATATTCTTGATGATCTAGTCCCCCTATTTTATTTTTAGCAAACAGCTGAGTTGCTTGCATTGACATTTTTCTAAATGGGAAGAAACATGTTATTGAATATTTAAGATTTTTCTCCATTACTACTATTTTCTCTGTAAGCATAACTTATTGGTACTAATAATTCTGCATTGTACATGTATAAGATATGCAGATGAAATCTTAAAACAGAAACATACTTTTCTATCATGTTTGTTTGTTCTATGTTAATCCAGAAACCTATATTTAACTGCCAACATAGACATTTCTTCTGATCATGAACAGTAAATCAGCAATACAAGATGAACAACAAAGGAATACTCATATGCCAGAAGTGACAATAGAAACTGGCAACTTTTGATTTTCATTTCCATAGAACTTCAATAATTTATTCAATACTTTCACAAGCTAATGCCAACCTGAAAGCTAAGGCAAGTGAGATATTTGTCCAGCTCTAGCAAACGAGACTAGCTGCAAAATTTCTTAACAGATTTGAGGCTGGAGACCAGAAGGTGATAGAAACCTTGGTGATGAATGCTAATTGGTCTTCAGTGCAGAGAAATGAAAGTGATCTGGCCTAAGACTGTATTCATAATGAAGTCAGGCTGTTTATGCTAAAAATTCAGAAAGGAATAAATAGTGAAGGCAGGAGCCCCTCTGGGGTAAGACATGCACCCATGGTCCTGGATATCAGACATTGCAGAGGACTAAGTCTGGGTTGGAACTGTTACACATGGGAGCTGCAAGCCCAGATAGGATGCAGTCAGAGCCCACGTCTGATTCCCCTGGGTTCTTGATATAAGTGGACCAGAGGGGCAACACTGATGTAGTTCTGAAGTTTTTCTCTGTTGTAGAGAAAGACCTTAGACTAGAAATTGCTGTATACCCAGCTAGAACCATTCTATTTAGTAAATGGATTGTACAATATATGTCAATGAATTATGCAATTTTCTTCTTGTGATCACCTGACCCATAACGGCTTGTGACAAGGTTTTTCACGGTACCTTCTCTTCTTTATGAAAACAACTGTGTATAGGTATATATGTAAGTATATGTATATGTGTATACATACGTATATATTTATGCACATCACCCATCCAGATTTCAAAGGAGCAGAATGTTGTTTTTTGCAGTTTCTTTTGCCTCCCAACTCCTGGAAGCAGGAAGCTTTCACTGAATGCCTGACTTAAGGGTATCCACAGGCCAGCAATGAATGCATGCTGAAGACTCATCTCCCATATGATTCTGCTTACACACAGCTTAGAGTCAGTGACTTCTAGCATCCCAGCAGTTTCAGGAAGGACGTGGACCTGTTGGAGCAAGTCCAGAGGAAGGCCCTGAGGATGATCAGATGGCTGAAACACCCCCCCCTATAAACACAGTCTGAGAGAGTTGAAGTTGTTCAGCCTGGAGAGGAGAAGGGTCAAGGGAGAGCTCACTGAGGCCTTTCAGCACTTAAAAAGGCTTATAAAAAAATGGAGAGTAGCCTTTTACATAGGGAGATAATGATAGGACAAGGGTGAATGGTTTTAAACTAAAAGAAGAAAGATTTAGATTACATATTAGGAAGAAATTCTTTACTCACAGAGTGGTGAAGCACTGGAACAGGCTGCCCAGAGAAGTTGCGGATGCCCCATCCTTGGAGATGTTCAAGGCCAGGTTGGATGGTACTCTGAACAACCTGGCCTAGTGGAAGGTGTCCCTTGCCATGGTTTGGGGGTTGGAACTAGATGATCTTTACTGTCCTTTTCAACCCAGGCCATTTTAAAATTCTATGGTGGTTTTGACAGGAGAGTTTCCAGCCACTGGAGCATGGGAAGAGCTTACAGATTCATGTCCAAGCTGGTGGCAGGAGAAAAGGGTTAAACAGAGTTACAACTGCAGACACTGCCAAGGGCTGGAGCTTTCAAACATCCTTTTGCTATAATCTTTATGCCCAAAAAGACAAATAAGGAGACAGAGAAGTGAGAAAAAACATAGCTGTGAGGAGGGAACACACTACCTATTAATCTTTCTTATCTAATAAGCAGAAGGGACAACTGGGAGAGAGAGCATAAGCTCTGTGGTGTCTGTGCCAGCAGCAGTGGCAGGTTCAGCAGCAACAGTAAGACTGATATTGGGACTGTGATGCTGCAGTGGAAATGGTGGTGATGATCTTTATTATTTCCTGGCTCAAAGAGGAAGAAAGAGCCAGGCACGGGACCTCCTTTCTTTCAGTAGGCACAACTCACTCACAATGTAGCAAGAACTGGGCAGGGACAGCCATTATTCCTGTGCTGCATAACCTTGGGGAACAGAGTCTAGGTACTTGTTTTCTCCCAAATCAACACAGCTGAACTTGTTCCACTCGTGTCCTGTCCTCTCCTCTCCTCTCCTCGAGCAATTTCATTTATGTTTAACTGTGCAGGATGATCAGCTATATCTTTTCATGCTTATAATTCCCTCTTCAAAAACTGTCTTGCATTCTTTCCCTGAGTGTATTCAAAACCACATTTTAGTACACTTTGTAGCCTGTGTGCTGAAGCTTGTCAACACAGTTTTTATATACTTCCAGAGTTAGGTTACTGCTGTATCTTATCTAGAGTTGTTATCTTTGACTTAATTTCTTCTCTGACTTGAATTTACCTTACAGAACACAATTTCAATATTCTTTTAAAGATGTGAAGAATATTTTGTTGTTTTTAGCTTTCACAGATACAATTACAAGGTAGTTTACAACTAAGCATAATTTTGATGTTCAGTAGCTGCCTTTTTTTCCCCCTTCCAAGTATCCCAGGAGATGAAAGCAGACCTTAAAAGATAAAAGTGAATTTAGAAATATAATGAAAGTGGTTTTAATATCTCAGCTTTTGCCATAAGCTTTGCTATATAACCATGCAAATTCAGTGCTTCTCCATGTTGCAACTGTATTGTGCATTTTCCCCTCTTGGATAATGTGCTTTCTACTACTTCAAAGAATTCTAAAATAATTGGACTTGTCTTATATGTAGGAAACCAGGGTGAAATTAATTGAAATTGATGTTAATTGTATTATTTTCTTAATTGCTGCAAATGTGGGTCAACACTGCCATAGACTTCATATAGATTTTAATAGAACTGTGAATTATAAGATATTTTTGGATTTGCTTCAAGCATTAAGTTCTTAAAAAACTTTAATGATTGAATCTCCTATGTAATGCCATCCCAGTGAGAGTAGATTTTGAGTAGCACTTCACAACTGGATATTCACTTTGGAAGTGTACAAGACATGCATGGCTTGTTGTTCTAATGAAGGAACTCAAAATATGTTTTCCAGCAGACTTACTTAGCTTCAGATGGAGAATCTTGCTATAGATAAAGAAACAGAGGGCATGGTTCAGTTGTCAGCATGAAGGTGTGACATTTCCTTAGGGTACTCTGTATAGTATCCAGTTGCTGGTGTAGACGATCAGATACGGCCCTAAAGACCTGTGTCACACTTCTCAACTCTGTATGAAAGCTTCCATTGCCTTAGGGCACCTGAAATGGCATTATCCATCTGTGTCTAATGGAGATGAGAAGCTGTAAAAAAGATTTAAATTACTCCAAGTAATGTGGGTAAATGTTCATGCAAGATACAAACAATAAATTAGCTGTCATCAATACACTGCTTCTTGGAAAAATTAGTCAGAGTATCACAAGAAGAGAACACCATTTTTCCTATCTGTGCACAGGACTGAGATACAATGCCATTAAAAAAAAGTAAAGGTAATAATGACCATAGAAATGCCATGGTCTACTCATGGTTTACTCAGATGTAATATTCTCATAGGAGGAAAAACAGTACATGTGAGACCCTCAACAATGTAGTATAAGGTAACAGAAAAAGCTACAGAAGAATGGTGTCATTATTTTAAAGGAAAATGTGAAAAAAATGGCTAAAAGAGCAAAAAATTTGCATGTGAAATGAAGCTTTTTCAAGGATATCTTTTAAAATTTTCAGAAAAAATAAATCAGTTATTCATTTTAATATGACTTTTACATGAATCAAAAAGGAACTTGAAGTAGATTAATAAAAAAACCAATAGAGTAAATCTCAAAAAAAGTATCAAAACTTAATTATCAGAGATAACTATCAAAAAGAAGACAATTTCAGAAGGCAAAGGTGTATTCAAATGAAAAGAGCATGAACTCTAGATCTGTAAACATGCATCTTTAGCAATGAATGCGCTATTACCTCATTTACACTTCATTACCTAGGCAAAGCAGATATTAAAAGATTCTGAGAAATTTCTTCTTTGAACTACTGATAATCTGTATGAGAAAGAAGAAAATTCTAAAGATTCCATACTGTCTAAAAATGACCAAGGTGCAAAAGTAATTTAAAAAAGTATATCTCATTGCAAGTTAAAAGAATTCACATATGAGTTTGTGGATGTACTAATTAATAAGAAAATTATCACTTCATTTGGCTTAAGTAGAATAAGTAGAAGAAAGCCTAAATTTGTTTGTATTTCTAAAGGACTCCAGGTATGATGTAAGGTACAGGCTGTAACTCTGACAGAAATGTTAATAAAAAATATGATTTGTATATATTCTTCATCTGTATTCATGCTTTAGCTGTAAAAAAGGGCACATGTCTCAAATTTTTTTGGAGCTTCTTCTAGCATATAAGAGGATGCATAAGAGAAAACCAGCAAAAACTAATTACTGGAACTTCATGTTACTTCTGTCCATTTTCAAATATGTCAAGGACAAAAAAGTGATTGGTACTGTTGAGATGCCTCTTGAGTGCTGGATCCAAGTCCAGGCTCCCTGTTGCAAAGGAGACATGCACATACTGGACCGAGTCCACAGAAGGGCCCCAGAGATGATTTAGTGTGTGAAACATCCCTCATACATGGAGAGTCTGAAAGATCTTGGACTGTTGAGTATTGAGAAGAGAAAGCTCAGGGGGATTAACATGTTTAATACCTGATGGGAAGGTGTAAAGAACACAGAACCAGACTCTTCTTAGAGGTAGCAGTGTGAGAAACAACGGGCAGGACCTAAAATATGGGAAATTCTGTGTCAGTATAAAAAAATATTATCTTCCTGCCAGGGTGGTCGAACACTGGAATGTAGGTAGGAATTTATTGGTAGTCTGTAATTCTTAAGGGTCTAATCAGAATGCATATTTATTTTTTCAGTCCTATTGCAGTTCTATAAGCTTTTCCAGTCAAAATTTATAATGGAAAACTCATTAATAATTCCCTAAAATTACTATGCTTTAAAAGTTAATAACATCTACACCATCTTTTTGATGATTTTCTGGCTTGTTCATGTATTTCTAGGCCCAAAGACTGGCTACATCTCTCTGAAGCAGGGATGTGGTGGAGTGTCACAGTGAGTTGTCAATACCCCAAGTTTTCTGTAGGAGGAGTTTGGTGTCCACAGGGAGTCTGATGCTCAGTTAAAGTCTAAATGCTGCACTGCAGCTTCCAGCAGCCATTATGAAGCAGCCACTTTATCACTGGGTTTCTCATGCCTGTACTGTATGTGGTATTCAGATTTTCAGCTATAGCACAGCTGGGGCAATGGTCACTAGACCACTAAGGAAAGTCTAAAATCAGGTCAGACCAAGACAAACCCTGACAAGCCCTTAGACTCATCACTGCCTTGTAAGTACAAAATCTATGGTCCTTTATTAATATTCTCATAATCATATTTACCAGTTGCTTACTTCACTCTGTTTCTTACTCTGTTTTCCTAAACATTCAGTGCTGCCACAGATGGGACTTATATCTTAAGCTCTTAGGATGCTTGATCTGTTGAGGTGAGAAAAGTCTTGTACAAGGTGACAGTCTGCTAAGGGTTCATGCAATTTATCCCTCAGGACTGCCTCTACAAAATAGAGTTTTCAAAGAATCTCAAAAACTACTTACTTAAGAGGCACAAAGGTCACACAAAGCTTGAAGCAAATCAACAGACACCGTCTGAATAACAAATTGATCTATTTTAGTGACTGTATTGTGTGCTTGAGATTTGAAAGGGTCTGCCCTCCCCCTTGCTCTGGTTATTCCTGCTATTCTCCCTGTCCTTTGAAGTCCAGAGTCTGCTACACACTGTATCTTGATACCTAATTTATAAACCACAAACTGTTACATTAGAAGGAACAAGGCTTGTGATCTAAATCTGGGAGGTGATATTTTTATACATCTTAATGCAGGAAAGTTGAGTAGAAAAGGTTAGTTCCCACTGTTGGCCTGGTCATTATGAGGTTTTTTAGGGGTGTTTGTTCTTAGTGTTTAACACTGATGGCTTAAAAACACTGATGGCTTTTTTTTCCTTAGAACATTAATTGTACTGAGTTTTATTTAAAATATTTCAGAGACAAAATCAGTCATAAAGAGTGTGTTCTTTGACAGAGTCAGGATTCTTTGACAGAGTCAGGATACTGGAGTATAAGCAGCCTCAAGAAAGCAAAACTAGGTTTCCCTGCTATGAAACAGGTTAAAATTGTTATCTTGAAGCTTTTAAGTAATTAAAAAAGTGACATCACATTTAGATTTTAAAAAATGCTTTGGCTTATTGTCTTCTTGGCTTTTTTTTTCCTTTTGTCTTTTCCTCATTGGTTTTTTCCTGTCTGTTTTGTTTGATATTTCTTGCTAAGTAGTGGTTTCATATGTCTAGGCACTACTTCTGCTGAAATGGATCTGAAAGGTATTATGAAGCTGAGCACAAGTCAATATAATACTGTTATGGGGGAAGAAAAGAAAAAGAAAACTTTTTTTTCTGTCAGAAAGAACTGTGACTTCTAAGAGGGTTAAAATAACTTGTTTTTTTTTTGCATATACCAATGCAAATAAACCATAATCAGCAAAGGCAGTGGTCAGACTTCATTCTCACATTGATGAAAATCCAAGGCCACCTGAAATGAGTTACCATGCCGTCACCTGCCTCCAAACTGCATTCTCAGATGGCAATAGAATTTACCAGTCCTTTATGCTGGTAAATCTGAAATATTATTGACCTTTGCCAGACTAGCTGATGCTTGGCAGTGCTTGTCTAGTAGTGAATTCATCATTATGTTGAATTATAACTATGAATTTCAATGCTAGTATTAAAGGGCTTATTCTCTCTCTCTTAAAAAAAAAAAAAAAAAGAATAAGAAAAGAAAAAATGGGCAGGTAAAATACACATGGATCTAAAATCTAAGAAATAAAAGGTAAAAAGAAATTTTCCAGCTTAAGGACTACTGTGAGCCTGACCTCATATTAGCTTTACCTTGCTAAACACATAAGGTGAGCACTTAATTCAGAACAAATACATTAAATTAATGAAGTCCAGCACTCATTAATACTATTAGAAAGTGGTTTAGTTAGGACTAAGATCTTCTGTTTCTTTTAAATCCTTAGCAAACTTCAGCATTAATTTCTATATGTAATAAAAAGTCCCAGAATTTGTTCATGGACATATCATGTGTCTGTACATCTGCCTGATTATCAAAAGTAATTGAGAGTTCTCATCAATTTGGAGCATGAATAGAACAGCCTACAGCACATAAATACGGAACATAAACTACGTAAAAGTTTCAGTATTTTTTAGTTGTTATTTTAATTTATTATTAGTAGTAATTTATTATTATAATTCTTTTAAAGTTGGGTGTATTGTCTCTAGCTGAGATGATTTTCCTCTAAGCAGATCTCAGAATTCTGGGTTTTTTTGGTAGGTAGAAAGGTGTTTATAACATCCCTGTGTTTCTGCCACTGCTGAGCAGCACTGGGACAGCATCAGGGCTGTCTCTTACATTCTGCCCCCCACCACCAGCAGGCTGAGAGTGGGCAAAATCCTGGGAGGGAACATAACCAGAACAGTTGATCCAAACTAACCAAAGGGACATTCCACATCATATGATATCTAGGACAAACTGGTTATTTGGTTTTTACAACATTTGACCCTCTGGAGCAACCATTATACCTGCTGAGGCCCTGCTTCCTGCGAAGTGGCCGGACATTGCTTGCTGATGGGAAGTAGAGAATAAAAGCTTTTGGCTTTATTTTCTTTTGATTGTGTGCTCATAACCTTCACTGCTGGGTTAGTAAACTGCCTTTATCTTGACCCACAAGGTTTTTTTCATCTTATTTTCTTCCCCTGTCCTGCTGAGGAAGGGAGTGATAGAGCAGCTTTGTGCATGCCAGGCATCCAATCAAGGTCAAACAGCCACACTGGGTGAAAGGAAAAAGGCATTTTTTTGAATACGCAGCATGTAGAGTTAGGGACTGATAATATATCTGGCAGTATTGCGGATTTTCAGGTAAGTTATTGTGCAAGCATCTGTCATTTTTATCAAATGTACATAAGGCATAAATTTTCCGATTCAATTCTACACTAGAGTTTAATTTATTCCTGTCAAGCTTTATATACTGGCAAGCAAGCAGAGTTAGTAGAAAGAGGTCAAATAATTGAGACTATCCTGGAGTCAATTCTGTGTAGAAAAGAGAAATACTAAAATTAAGAGAGATAAAGAATAGTGCTATACCTTTGCATATGGATCCAGGGCCTACAGAGTCCCTGTAAAAGTTGGTATAAACCTGACATTTAGTTTACAAATTTTAAGGGGGGTTACAACATTTTTGTTTTTACAACTTTTTTAGTTTTTACAATGTCAGAAGTTTACAAAGACACCAAAAGGATGAATGGTGTGTTCCCTGGAAATGTTCAAGGGCAGGTTGGATGGGGCTTTGAGCAATCTGGTCCAGTGAAATGTATCCCTGCCTATGACAGGGTGGTTGAAACTGATTGATCTTTAAGGTCCCTTCCAACCTAACTCATTTTATGATTCTATGAATTTCCCACTATTCAATAAACTCTAATGTAGGCTAATGCAATTATTCTCCAAGAAAAAAGAAGATATAATCACTGACAATGATTTTTCTGATCCTACTAATGAAAGAGAAATAATACAAAATATAATGATACTGGCATCTCAGTCTGACTTTTCAGATCATTATAAATGCAAAACTGCAAAAGCAGCATTTGATATAGGAAACTATTTACAATTTTGTCATAGATATGTATCTGTCTTTATCATTCTATCAATATTTTTATTCTATATGTAAACCCTAAAAATAAGGGTATTTCTTATTATCACAATGATGATAAATATTTTATACATATGTCCTTCAACTTACACCAAATCCCCAATTTAAAGACCTATGTTAAACAAAGCGAAACAAAAGGTAGTATACAAACTTCTATATAAGCATGCTTCTCAGTTAAATAGTTTTAAGAGCTTTTACTTAGTAAACCTAGTTTCAGACTTTCACTTTCTATGACAGGAAGCAGCAGAAACGGAATAGTGTTGTGACACATCTGAGAAAACACTTCCTAGTATTTTACCATCAAAACAGCTAACAGCTAATTCAGGTTACGATTAGTTTCAAAGCTATGTTTAGAGCTCTAAAAGTTAACCTCCAGAACCTGAGCAAGGATCAATTTGTAACCAATGAAAGGAAAATAAACATCTACAGAAGAAATTTCAGGTTGTTGTAAGACAAACAACTACCATGACTTAGACGTGGAGATATTTATTCCTCTCCTTTGGCCATAATGAGCGTAAGATAACTTAGATGGCAGCTGGTAGAGATCTAAATTTAGATGAAATTGCTGTGTGCCTTTTTACATGCCAGTAACTTTCAAAGGTTCTTTTCCATTAAACTCAACTAACTTTAAAGCCCATTTCAAGGAATAAAATGCATCTACTCTTCTGTACGTAATCATACTTGTCAGGGTTAATAAATTAAACACATCCAAGACCATTATCTGACACCAAAGCCAGGTGCCACAGAAAAGTTTGTGCCCATAGTATTGAAGTCTCTTGCTCACTGAATAGTGTACCTACAAGTCCCTGACACAAAAGGGACTGGACTCACCCTCATGGCAGGGCAGAGTCAGACTGTCTGGGATTGTTCCCACAAGTTAACCAGGTAAATAGTCTGTCCCAGCACCTGGGAACACTCTATGGCATTGGCTTATTTTATGAAGTGATTAACTTGTTGTCTCTCAATGTACTTTACTGAAGGTGTATAAAATACCAAATTATTGATATATTAACAGACTTCAATACTGGCAGGCATTATTTTGGTATTTACCTAAAAAACTACTATGTTCAACTTAAGTGAAATAGGTAATGTGAAGTGAAATGAATATGAGCTAGGAAGAATAATAATAAACAGGTGGTTTCTTAGTACATGTCATTGTTTTTCAGATGCTTAAAAGGATTTCTGAAGCACTCTGCAGATATATTCATGGTATACACTGGCTAGTATGCAGAAATGTTTGGGGTTTGTGCTGAACAGAGGGTTGATAAATCAAAATGTTTTTGTTATTGCTGAGAATTGCTTACACAGAGCCAAGGCCTTTTCTGCTCTTTGTACCGTCATGCTGGCAAGGAAGTTGGGGGTACATGGGAGGTTGGAAGGAGACATAGCTGGGACAGGTGACCCAAACTGACCAAAGGGTTATCCCATACCATATGGCATCATGCTCAGTATATGAGGAGGGTGGAAGAAGGAGGAAGAGGGTGATGTGTGGAGCGGTGATGTTTGTCTTCCTAAATAACCATTCTGCATGATTGTGAGAGTCTGGAAAAAAGTTATTACTGGCTTGAAACAATGCTGTGTGGGGGGAAGGCAGATCAGCTTCTGCAAGGTGGGATCGTGCTCTGTCCCCCCCATACCCTGCCTCCTTGCAAGCCATCAGTGCAGCTGTCAGTCAATGGTAGGAGCACTGCCCCACACCACAACTCCTGGAACCCCTAACCCAGCCCCAGTGTGGCTGACACACTGGAAATCCTGCCTGGGGAGGTGGGGGTGGCCACAGGAGTCCAGAGCATATAAAACCAACCTCCCCATGGTCACAGCCCTATTTCCCTTGGATATGTGGTAGCTGGCTCTATGCTGGATTTTACTTGATATTTGGGTAACTTAAACCTGGATGGCTTGTAATTTGCTGAGTCAATGCTTTGTGAAATGCTTTGCATTGATTGATTGTTTGCTTTCAACTTTTGCCAAGTTCCCTTTTTTTTTCCGAAGTTTTCCAGTAAAAGTGTGTTCTTTTGACCTTCAGAAAACATTGTAGTGTTTTTCCTGTGTGCAGCCTTGAGGTATAAAAGAACTGAAGGCCCTTTTAATAAATGTGTCAGTGGGTTTTGGGGCCTTGTATCTTTTTGACGTAAAACCCCTTTGATAAGCTCACGTGGTGAGCCTGTGGTCTTACAGTGATGGGGCCCTGCTCTCCTGGAGATGGGTGAATTGACTATGGGAAGCAATGAATTAATTTCTGGCTTTACTTTGCTTACATGTGTTACAATCTGTTTTAGAAGCTCCGCGCTTTACTAGGTGTTACACTTCTATGTCAGGCTTGAAGAGATTTTGCCTAGGCAAACTCTTGCAAAGACTTTTGATTCTTTGGTACCTTGAGTTCACATCCAGAGAAAAACTACATTTTTCTCCAAGAAATTGCTTTTCATTTGATGAAAAAATAGGGGGTTTGGCAAAAAGAGTTTAGCAGAAATAACGTGCAACTTCACAGAAGCACTACAGGAGGTTACTGAAACTAGCAAGCACTGCTATAGTAAGGGAACCTTTCCTACACCCAGCAAACACAAACTTAAGTGAAATACTTAAGTACAGACAAGTTGCCAACAGGAGTAGAGGGACTAACAGAAGGAAGAATAAAGAGACAAAGAGGGGAGAGAGACATATTTACCACTCTGGAGGTCCCACATTTAACAGCCAGGAGAGCAGAGGCCAAAAGAGAAATGCGGACCCTGGATATGTCTATTTATAGACTCTGGCTATCATGGCCCCTCCCTCTAGGCAGGACCTTTGTCCCACTGCCACTCAGTGTCCCCTTTGCCAAAGTGAAGGGTGCTACAGCCAATTAGAGGCTCCAGGGGGTGGGGTGACCACCAGGCTGACCTTATTGACAGCCCAGACACGTGGTTTTCCCTGCCAGGTGCACTGCATGGACATGGTCTTGTTGGCTGCAGGCCTAGGTCTGGCCCTTCTCCTCCCTGCACCCCCGAACACAGACCACATGGTTTATTCAACCCATCCGGTCGAATAAATCCAGTGAGATATGAATCTCGTCTCTGACACTATGCATAGGTCTTGCTTTCCCTATTAAATTGTTTTTATCTCAACCCATGAGTTTTCCAGCTTTTACACTTCTGATTCTGTCCCTTATCCTGCTGGTGGGGCAGTGAGTGAGCAACAGCATGGTTCTTGGTTGCTGGCTGGGGTTAAATATGGCATTCATAAAGACAGCAAAATTTCAAAATGGATTTTTTTTTCATGCACTATATATGAATTATATTATATGGGGCAATCCTGGATGTACATAAAGACAGGGAATGAGACACTGGAAAGCAGTGCCACAGGAAGGGACCTGGGGGTCAATGGCAAGTTGAATCTGAGTCAACCAGGAGGGCCAACCGTGTCCTGGGGGGCATCAGGCAAAGCATTGCCAGCCAGTCAGGGGAGGAATGGATTGTCCTACTCTTCTCTGCACTGGTGTGGCCTTGCCTTGAATATTGTGTGCATTTTTGGGCACCACAATGTAGGAAAGATATGAAGCTGTTAGTGAGTGTCCAAAGGAGGGAAACGAAGATGGTGAAGGGCCTTGAGGGGAAGCCGTATGAGGAGCGGTTAAGGTCACTTGGTCTGTTCAGCCTGGAAAAGAGGAGACTGAGGGGACACCTCACTGCTCTTACAACTTCCTTGTGAGGGGAAGAGGGGCAGGCAGAGATCTTCTCTCTGTGGTCAGCAGTGATAGGGCTTGTTACAGTCCGATTAGTGGCTGCAACGTGATTCTTTAAAGGGATACTACGAAGATGAGATTAAGGCATGAAAAGCCAGATGTTAAGGTCCTAAAAGGAGAACAGACTTTTTTTTTTCCAATAAGTAAACAGCAAAAACAAGGGATGGGGAGGAGGAGAAAGGGGGAGAAATAAGGAAAGGGAAAAGCTACAAAATTAAGTTACAAAAGGATTGCCACCACCAGTGAGGGAAAAAAACGGGTGCATACGACCTCAGGCAGTCCGGAAGGACCATCGCGCGGAGGCAGATGATAAACTGGCTGGATGGGAAGGTTGGAATTGTGGCAGGCAGGCAAGATGAATGGAAGCAGGCATGGGGGTCAATAGCCAACACTGGACCCTTGGTTGAAACCCGACCAAGCTGGAGGCAAGCAGGAGAGGTGGGATGGAGGCAGGCAAGATGGAATTAGGTGGGACAGAGTGAGGAGTGGGGACAGGACTGGAGTGAACTGGTACACTGAAGTTTGGTGGACTGGAACGCCAGTTATCCTGGACCTAGCAAAACAATACTCTACTCCGGCTGTCCTGGTGCCAGCATGGCAACACTGGGCACAGTCTTAAATACCCCCCGGTCAATGCTCACTGGCCAGCTTGCCTCTGGGCAGACTCCTCCACGCTGCCAATTGGTCAGACAGTCGGTATCTGGGCAGGCTGGCTCTGCTGAGGTGGGAAAATGTAACTTTTCTCTGCTGTAGACTCTCCAGGGGGCTGGCAAGTAGTTTAAAAATGTCCTCTCAGGGCGATGAAGACAGTCCTGCCAGGAGCTGAAGACAGAGTCCACCATTTTGTTCACCAAATCAGTCAATGTGAAAACAACAAAAAGAGTAAGAGATGAAACCATCTCTTATAGGGCCTGAGGGAATTGTTTGAAGTTATGCCAGGGGAGGTTTAGATTGGATATTAGAAAAAGGTTCTTCAAGCAGAGGGTGATTCGATGCTGGAATAGTTTCCACAGAGAAGTGGTCACAGGACCAAACCTGACAGAGGTCAAGAAGTGTTTGGACAATACTCTCAGGCACATGGTGTGGACTCTTGGAGATGGTCCTATGCAGGGCCAGATGCTGAACTTGATGATCTTTATGGGTCCCTTCCAACTCAGCATATTGTGTGATTCTGTGATTGAAATATAACTGTCAGAGGATTTGCTTCTGAAAGTCAATTACAAACATCAGAACTGACTTTTTAATGTTGTCATAATTAAAGGATAATGGTTTAAACATTAAATATCTTCAGTAAACACTCTTGTTCAGTAAACTCTTTGCTCTATAGTAATTAGACATAAGGCAAAATTATTCTCCAAATGCCAGAATTTGATGGTGTTACAGAATGTAGGTCAAAGCGAATTCATAAAGGATACACATTTTGGAAAAAGGAAACAGAATCTGTTATCAGCTACTCTACGTTCTTTAAAAGCTAGGTCCGTGAACTAAAGTGCTGCAGAATTTATTGAACAACAGACTTCTATGGTTAAATCTATGCCATTTGTTTAATCTTCATTTTATTCCCTTTTTTGTCATCATACCTTTAATTTTTTTCCCTATCTAAAAATGAATTTCCTTTGTCTCATTTAAGTTCATGAGATATTCAGAAAGAAGAAATATTTGGGTTTGGGTGCTCAAATATTCATTAATACTGACTAATGTAATAAGAAAAAAGATAAAAAGATAAAGGTAACCCCCCCAAACTAGTAGGAGTTAAGAAAGAGCAAAAAGAGTTTAAGAATTCTACTCTTTTCTATAAGATTGAAGTTAAACTGTAACAGCTGGAATGCAATACTTTTATGTATATAAGAATAGATACATATATAGATATATTTAAGTTGGAAAAATTAAAAAAAAAAAGGATATATCACCTTCTTGCAGTTTCTCTCTTTCTTTCAAGATAGCGCTAAGACAGAGACAGAACCACACTCTTGACAGCAAATTTGTGTTAACCTACAGTGAAGTAACATTTCAGAAAGCAGTAAAACATAATTTTAAATTTCAGCAAGGCTGATACCCAATTAACAGCAAAACCTGCATGAACCTTGGCAAAAAGAAGATTCCATTTTGTGAACAAGAATCAATTATTAAAAGAGAATTCTATGTAAGAAATATTATAAAAAGTTCTTCCTGTACTCTTTTCATCAGACTTCAAAGGGACTTTTGTCAAACACATTAAGAATATAGTATAATTCAAAGGTTGCATTTATGTTGTGATATTAGCTGTAAGAAGCAAGAGAACTGAAATATGTACACTGTAAGAAGAGTAGCCTTTGTTTCTTCTGAAGAGAAATAATCATTTCAGCAACAGAAATTTTTCATGGGCTTTTAAATTTCAAAAGGAAAAGAAACCTATCCTACAGTTTCTGGAATCTGAAATAAAACAAAGAAATCATTTCAATCTGAATGAAATAAAAGTGACTAAGACACTTGTAAGTGATTTTTGTAAAGATTAAAGATTGGATAAAGACAGTAGTATACTGAGCAATGAGAAGGGTACTTCTTCACTATGCATGTGTGGAAGTAATAATAGAATGACAGTTCTAGTATCTGCAGTCCAAAAAGAAAATAGTTGAAACATAACATATTCGATCATTTTAGTTTAATCAAAAAAGTTACAGAATAATTTGATATTCATAAATATAGAATCTATATATGTGAATATATATTATATATTGAGAATGAACAAGTGATAACAGAAAACAGCTTAAAGTAGAAGAAAAGAGCAAAATTACACCTACTGAGCTGATCAATCAACAGTGGAAATAATACTGTGGACTTTCAAGTACTGAGAGACAAGCTTGGATATTTTTTTTTCTAAAAATACATCTAATTGAATTACAAATGAGCAAAAAGAAACCTTACATTTTTTTTAATTTTATTTAAATATTTCTTTGGGTTGGTTTTTTTGATATTAAACTATACAGTGGTCACAATTCTAAACAGGCTAGTAGTCATTAGAAAATTTGAAAATTCTCACTCCCTTTTTCCATTTTTTTTTTAAACTCTCGTTTACCTAATTTTTTATCTTATGAAGGTTGCATGTGAAAAGTCAGTGACCTATAAAATATCATTTATTTGTCTTTAAATCAGCTGAGATAGTCAGCTTAAATAGCAGCAGCACAGTCTTTCTTTGGAACCTGATCCTATGGTATAATTTTTCACAGATTTTTGGAATTCCTTTTACACATATGAATATCCCATCCCAACGTTGACAGTAAACTGGCAATATTTCTTTTGAAGTGTCTCTGAAGCATCCCCACCATCTAAATTAATAATAACAGCTTTGAGTGGGTTTTTATTTTTGTTGGTTTGTTTGTGTATTTTTAAATAGAGACAAGTCTAAACACTGGTTGTTTTGTATCTTGTGCCACATACATTATCACTCAATACACTTAAATCTATAGTGCAGCAGAATTTGTAATGTTTCCCAGCAATTGCAAGGTATTTTTAACACTTATTTGCCTATCATCATGTTGAATGTCTATTTATGGATACACAAAGCAGTTTCTGGAGATGGAGAAGGTATTAAAGTACTGGCCTTATTTACTTTATATGTGAAAATACCCTGGAGGCATAACTGTGAACAATAGCCAACAAATCAAAGGAGGGAGGGAGGAAGGGAGGGAGGGAGGGAAGAGGGAGAGGAGGGGAGGAGGGAGGGAGGGAGGGAGGAGGAGGGAAGGAAGGAAGGAAGGAAGGAAGGAAGGAGGGAAGGAAGGAAGGAAAGGGAGGAAGGAAGGAAAGGAAGGGAGGGAGGGAGGGATGTGACAAGTGTTTCAAAGGTAGATTTAAGGAAAAAGTTACTTAGACTTAAAATAGAAGTTACAATATTCTTTTCTTCATAGTGAAAAATACCAGTTGAGTCAGATTTGTGCAGGGAGTGAGGTGGGGGCGAGAAAGAAGACACCAAAAAAAGCAGATGTCAAGAAACATTTGATTGT